TAAAGTACATCTTTAACTCATTGTAGCATAGTATCAATTAGCTTTAAATAAAATTCAGCATCAATTTAATTCTATACTAATTATATCTTATTCCACAAATCTTCTATACTAGTAATATTATCAGGAAGCTATTACAAAAAATAATCAATTTCATTCTACAAATGTTCAATGAAATTTAAGTCTAGTGATTATGCTAGCCAATCTAAACTTTAATATTATTGTTATCAAAACACTTGTATGTTTTCTTTGCTATATATTTTGGGTCATTATCCTGTTGGAAAATGATATCATTTATATTCAAATCACACACGCTAATGGTCCCTAAAAACTTATCTTCCAAAATTTCTCTATATAATTCTCCATCCATTCTTCTATCAATTTTACAATACTTTCCAATGCCAAATGAACCCATACAGCCTCATATTATTATAGAACCTCTACCAAACTTTACAGTTAGTTTAATATGCTATGATTGCAAAGGTAAATTTGAATCTTTTTAACACCACTCTCTCCCATCTGAGCCAAAAATTAAGAATTTACTCTCATCTGATCACACTGCTTTTCACCAATCTTCTATAGTCCAATTCTTATATTTTTAAGCAAATTTTTTCATGATTTTCTATGTCTTTTGAGTAGTAATAGTTTTTTTTTTTAACTCTAGCTACAAGACCTTGCCTTTTCAATAAACGTCAAATAGTATTTGGTGAAATAACAATATTTTCATTGGAAATTAAAGATTTTTGAATTTGAATAGCATTTGTACTTCACCCGACTTAATAAGCCTGACAATATTCTTATTATAATGTTCTGTAAGTATTCTTGGGCTGCCTGATTTTGAAATAACATCAAAGTTGCCTGTTTCTTCTTTTCTTTGTTTAATTCTTATTACAGAAGCATGACATATATTTTCATGAGAAGCAATTATATGACTTAGTAAACCTTTTTGGATAAGAGTAAAAATATGTTCCCTTTGGTGAAGTGAAATCACTTTCATAATATATTTTTTAAATAAAAAAAAAAGAAAGGCATACAAATTGATCTACTGATTTAAATTTACTTATATATATAAGACATATCACACAATCATAACTTTATTATATTAATTTTGATTCCAAAAGTATTATATCATGAAAAAATTGCATATAAAGAAATTTTTGAAAAAGCCACAAATTAAGTAATACTCAAATTTAAATATATTAAAAATCTGATTACAGGCTTTAAATTGATTTAAAATTTAGTTTTATAGTCACTTTAATTATTCAGGTATTACGATCTAAAAATTAAAAATGAAGTGGTACAATAATTATGGAAGTCACTGTATCTATCAGTGTCACAAGTTTCTTATATTTTAGAAATTCGTTGTTGCTGTTCGTCTAAGTTTAACTATATATTGGATATAAAATGACTTCGCATTTACTTTATAATTTGTACATGTTTTACGAGTTGAATTATTACCATAGAAATTGTTGTTCAACATTTGTATTTGAAAAAAAATTTTCAGAAGGTATTTATATGATATATTATATTCTTTCATTAAGAAGAGGTCTTTGTGAAAGGAAGATTTTTTTTTTTAAAATAAAAATAGTTCTTTTTTTTTGTAAAAGATTTTTCGATAAACTATTTCACCTTGGGTTTATAAAAGATTGATTTTATTACCTTTCAAAGATATCCCTGAAGTCAAATTCAGCCAATAATTACAATTTGAACAATAACAGGCTAAAATATGCAAGTAATCTGTGCGGACAATCTATTTCTTCTAAAAGAGAAATTCAGCGTTAGTTTTAAAAATAATCTTGCCTTGATTCTTAATTACATTTTATTTGATTATAAGTATTAAATTAAGTTAGTAAATTATAATAACATATTTGTTTGAAATTTCCTTGTATAAATAATAGAAATTGAAGAAAGGTTCATTACAATAACCCGTTAAGAAGAAGAATAGTCAATCATCTTGCTGTATAAATAAACCAAACAAGATATTATATAATGTTAAAATGGCGTGAATACAATTCATAATTTTGAGTCGTAGTTCCTTTTTAATTGTAAAATTAAAACAATCAAAACTCAAATTTTTTTTCAATTTATTAATAATACATTTCTTGAGCTATTAGTTAATCTTTGTTTTTAATTATTCCTATTTATTGATATTAGTTCCTGATTGATAATATCAAAAAGTTTTATATCAATTAAAGATTTATTAAATTCATCATAATATAATGAATTATTTCCTTTTTCCTTACATTTTAATTTATACAACCCTTTTATAACTATTATGCATATTTTTCTGACTCATACTTAACTACCTAACTCAACTAATTTATTTATAAATTTAATGTTGAACATAGGAATACTACCCTAATTTTATTATTTACAAAATCTTACTAATTTCGAAAGAATAATATATTGTAAATAAAGGCAATTAAATAATTCACAAATTAGCTTAGTCTGATGTGTACGTAAAACCAAAAAAGAAAATTGAGAGAAACTATGTAAACATTTATAATTGTGATTAGTATTTCTGAATTTCAGTATTTTGTTAGGATATTGCGTTTCATTTTTTATTAGAATAGTATTAATATATAACTGTATTTATTATTGAAAAATTTTTTTAATTGATAAAAAAATAAAATCACATGATTTGAAGATATATAATATTATCATTTTTACTATACTATTTTATTTTTAATTAAAGCATATACAGTACATATCATATTTAGCTAATTATTTATGAATAAATTAAAGATAAAAGTCATTGGGAACATTGCCAGTAAAACAAAGTCATGAGATATAAGAAATCATATGAACTGATAACGTTTCCAATTGAAACTGAGTGGGTGTTGTTTCAAATGTTGCCTTAAAAAAAATGAATTCAAGTAAAACTTTTATTTTAAAATATTAATATTTATTATATTTATTATTAGCTTATTATATTCTTTATTTAAATCATCTTTTTGTTGCTTTCTTTTCCTTTATGTTCTTTCCTTTGACGAATTGATGACATAAAATCAGTTTAATGACTTTTTTCGATCATTCTTTAACAAATGATTCAGTACTCATCTTATGCTAGTTGTTTCATCAGAAGAGAATGTCGCCTATATCTACCAAGAATTTCAGAAATATACTGAAGCTTTAAATTATTATTCTAAATTAAAAAAAAACTTCATTATTAAGAATGATGTTACATTTTTTAAATGATTTAAACTTGGTGTTAACATAGTCTGAGTAAAAAATTGATGATTAAATTTCCAAGATTTGTGTTCATTATTATGCTTTTTGAAATTCTGTTAAGTTTTTTCCACTTATTCGCACATTGATCAGCAGAATAATTGTAGTAGAGCAGAGCGTTTCATTTATATGGAGGTCTATTATATTTTCTAGCTGATTTTAGCTTTATTATAACTTTCATCAGATTAGAGACATCTTTTTTCCATTTATTCGCATATTGATTGGCAGAATATTGTAGCATAAAATATGGAGGCATTATTTCAAAGCATTCCCATTTTACATTATTTTTCCTAGCTGATTTTAGTTTCAACATAACTCTCATCAGATTGGGAACAAATTTATATACCTATTATGGAAGTATTATACAGTCACATATGATTTTAATTTTAAATGATTCTTCCCCCTTTTTTTTCCTGTTTCTTTCTTATTTTGATACTTTACATTTCAAAAAATTCCTTAAGTTGTCTCAGTTTATTCACTCAGAAGTATAACACTTTTATTACTTCTGAAACGACAATATCTTCTAGCTTTATTGACACAAATTTTTTAATATTTCTTGTCAAGTCATCTATAAACCTTTTTTAAAAGAATTTTTTATTAGGAAATATATTCTGCTTAATATAAATTCTATTAAACACTTTAAAATAATTATTATTCTTAGTTAACATATAGAATTGATTTCAAGGTTTATTGCAAATTTTAATACAGATCTGACAAATTACTCTCACACTTCAAATAATATAGCCAAGTCTTAAAGCACAATAACGACTGTGTCAACTGCTATCCAATTTTTGCAATTGGATGAGTTTAGACTTTTTTATAAACCACAAGATGATGATAACTTTTATCACATAACTTATAAATTGATTTTACAAGATTTTATCTCTTTGGATGATAATTATGAATATGGATTCTTTTATCAATACGTAGAAGCAAATTTACGTTATATGCAAACTATTCTCAAATCTTTGATTATAGATATTTTAAAAAGTAGATATATGAAATGGATATCGATATTAACTTATATGGTAAAGGATTAATGACTTTACATCAAAAATTTAATGTCAAACAAAACTTGAAGCAGATTCTTTCCATTTACCTATTGCAACAATTGCAGCATCCAATTATTTCTGATGAAAATGGGTTGTCACATAATATTTTTTACCAAGATGAAAATGGTAAAAAGGATAATCATTAATGAATGATATCATTAACCCAAGACAATAAATTCATTGGTATTTTAGACTATTTTTATACTATTCGTAATACTTATTGTATTTTATTATTATGTAATGTAGCTAGTTCTCTTGTAAATTTTCAACCGAATAACATTTTTGCAATCCATTTTCTAAATTAATTAAAATTAAAAGTTGTTAATAATTTGGCTGATTAAATAAATAATATTCATATAAGTTTTTTTTTGTTAATGTTATCTTTAAATTTATATTAATTTTTATTTGTTTTAAATTTTTAATTTTAAATTTGTCATCATCATAAAAGATAGGTACGTATATTAAAATTATTAAATATGTAAAATCTTTGAAGTTAGACTTAATCTAATCTTTTCGAAAAATTTCATCTACATCGAGTTTATACTTAAAGTTTGCTTTTTTTAAAATTAAAAAATACAAATTTATTAAAAATAAAGAAAAAATAAATAATAAACTAAAATATATTTTTACCTTACGATCTTGTTTAGTATTTTTCTACTTAATCTCACACTGGGTTTCAGTAATATTGTACCGATCGTTCTTAAGCCAAATGGAAATCCTTTTCTAGAGCGGTTCTCTAACTATAATACCACGACTTTTCAGTTGTACTACTTTATCTTTATTGTCTTTCAAGTATGCTAGCAATGATTTAATGGCATCTTCATTCCATTTACATAGAGATTCATTATTTTTCAGCGATGTTAGCTTTTCATCAGATTGGAAACACTTTCATTAGTAATAGAATTAAATTCACGTATATTCGAATCTAAAAAAAGTAAATAGATTAACCAATGATACAAGTCGATTTATTACACAAAAACATCGCGTTTATTTACTTAGATCAAAATTTTCAACTACAATTCGACAACTAGTGGCTTTATTAGACGTAATGCAAAACATTGCAGATGAAAATCATTTTTATAATTAAGTGAAATTTGTGTAACTATAATCGAGTTACTTCATTTTGTAATGGACGATCAATTTTTATATACTATACCCATACTAATTAAATAATTTGATAGATATCATGTGTACAACCAGTTTCTTATAATCTTTTTTCCATTTTTCGTAAATATTTTTTTTCTTTGCATTTACATGAAATTCGCCTTAAAAATAAGCTTTTTTTTTAAGATCCAATTAAGAATAAGAAAAAATATGTAATTTTAATGATAGAAATATATGTAATTTTACGAGGAGAAAAAGATTTTTAAACTTCTGACCATGATTATTCAGGTGGGTTTCGCATAAACGCAAAAATTGATTTTTTGTAAGAAAAAACGAATTTTTATTATTTTTTTGTTAATAAAGATTAATAAGCTTTTAAATACCTTTCACTATTAATTACTGTAAAATATTTATACTAAAGAGTAAATTTTTACATTCTGTTTCTGTTATGTCACTG